AGCTGCTAAAGGTAAAACACTAAATACTAGGTTGGTCACTGAAGCGCAAAAGTAGGTCATGCAAAGACCTGCAGATCAGGGACTTGCTCAAATTTAAGTCCAGAAGTGGAATGACTTCTAGGGGTGAGAGTGGAGGGTCCAGAAAAATACTTGTCTTCTTTACCCCCAGGTATCAGGCTTAGTGTAAGCTCAGAGGTTAGCTTAACTTTTGCAGGGCTGTGGAATCATTTAGTGTTCACCTGAATGCTCTGAAAATATTAGTCTTTGCACTAATGAGAACATGAAATCTCATTCTTTCAGTAAGCATACAGTTCTTGGCACCCACAAATGAATTTTAAGTGGTAGTTTTGCTTGGAAAAATCTCACTCTTTTCAAAGGAGATATGTATATTGGTTTCCTTTAAAGACAGATCCCCCTCACCATCCTACCGTACCTATCAGAAACTCTCACTATCAGATCCTGCACAAAAAATGTCAAATTTTTCCTGTTACAATCAAAACTCCACAGTGGTGATTAGCACAACGCAAAGACTTTTCCATCCCATCATCCAGTGGGTGCTGCTGAGAATGTCATCTCAGGAAGTACAAGATCCATGTTTCCCAATGACTCACAACCAGCACAGAGTACTGCTGTTTCTATTATTTTCTACCCATGTCTAAGTGGTTTTTGTCCATTTGGGAACTGACAAAATCAAAAGGCCAGATGCACAGGATAGGTCAAACCTGGGGAAGGTGTTAACTGTGTAGGTACCTAAACACTGCTCTATCAGATTCCTTATCTCAAGCCATTACTCCTTTGCTACCTCAGTTATAACCTTCCCCAAAGCCTCTCTTCACACACAAGCCTACCCTCTCTTTGGCCAATGTCCTTCATCTTGCCTTGCAGATCCACTGGCATGCCACTCTTGCAACCCACATCTTCTTAAACAAAACTTGTTGCTTTCCCTAATGCTTCTTTTAAGGGATGGGATAATTTCAAAATACTTGGAATGAGAAGTTTACCAAGTTCTGTCAGGAAGAGGTTGACCACAATTTGTCCTGAAACCTACTTGGTGACCAACAGAAAAAAAAAATTCCTAAGCAAATGATATTATCTAATTAACTAACAGAGGACATTACTCAAATCAGAAACTCACCTTCTAGTAACTAAAGTGCTCCACACCAGATAAAACCTCAGCTGATGCTAAGGATAACCCAGTCAGAGAATCCCTAACTGAATTGATGGTCTCAGAACGACATGAAGAATAAGTTATCTGTAGATGCTGGTGTGACGGCAGGATGCAGTGGACACTAGTAACCGAGCTCCTCTGGCTTGTTGGGGGCGTTCCACTACGTCTATTCTTTAAAAGAAAAAGACAACGACTTTTAAGTCTTTGACTTCTCACTAGGCTCAGTCAATTGAAAAGAAAATGAATCACTAAACATCTATACACCTCTACTATACACTTCTTTGAAGACCTTAATCACTTCAGGACTGCTCTTTAAAAGGTAAGGGCTGCTGCATTTGCACAGCTGGGGTAACAGGAGGGAAATTTCCTGCGACTAGAGACAGGTAAATAAAGAAACTGCATACGCTCCGAGGCAGAGGGAGGCGTCTTCTGCCAGTGAAGAGTTTATATAATATATAACAGAAAACCAGTGAGCTCTGCAGACCTGTCAACGGCGATGCAAGGCTGTGCTCTTCGCACCATCTCTAAACTCTTCAAAAGCCTGCTCTTCTCTCCCAAAGACACACAGAAATTACATCTAATACTGTATAACAGCCTGCACATGCTCACCCCATGCTTTCCTACTCACCATTATTATTAAAACACATAAAATAAAAAAGAGAGAAAGAGAAAAGAAAAAAACCTTAACCTCTCACTTTTGAGTCCAAAGTATGGAATAACCAAACAGAACCGGGGAGTTTTCCCCTCCAATGAAGGGGCGAGGAGAACAAGGAGCTGCCTCAAATCTACATCATGCCCAGTGATGCAATGACAAACCCTCAAAATTCCACAGCGGCCGGGGCAACCCCGTTCGCGGTTTGGCCCGACTCGGGCCCCACGGCCCGGCAGCCGCCCTCTCCCCCGGCTTCTCACAAAGGAGAATGGTTCAGTCCAGAGCATCACCCAGCACCTGACCCTGCACAACTAGGGGACAGACGGGAAGTCAGGCACCCTGGGGAAGGATCAGTTATTGAAATCAATTCTAAGAGCGGCAGTCTTTACAAAGACGCTTGAACCAGCAATGTGGAGCAGGAAGGAGCAGGGAGCCTACCTGTACAAGTCCTTGTGGCTCCTTTCCAATCAGCGTTTCAACTCACCCTTGCGGAGAACAAGGCGCCTTCCGGGGGAGCATGGCCAGCTCTCGCCTCAATCTAGCTTGCTAGTAGTCCATTCTCCGTCGGCTCCGCCCAACTGCGCTCCTACCCACCAATGGCAAGGCCCATACTTGGCCTCTTACAACAGGGTTGTGTGAGCGCCATCCAGGAAGTCTCCTGAGAGTGGGAGGTCCTAAAAGACTGAGAAGGGTACGTAGGCAACCACAGATATGCCTGATTGAAAATAAAATCTGGCGGTAGCTGGCTTCTGACGGCTCAGTCCACAATCAGGCCTCTCAGCATCCTCTTTTGACCCCCGCCACTGGGGGCGCTCTAAAGTAAAACAACATTCAGTTACCTGTTTCTGGGAAGCCATCTTGGATCGCGCTTGGTGCCTTGGAGGCGGGGAGGAGGAAGTGCTTAAGAATTTGAACAGTTCTTTGGAGTTCTTTCGAGCCTACTTAAAGCCAGCCCCAACATACTCTCCTTTACATAACCAGCATGTCCCTGGGTTACGGTGGGTAGGTACTTCGGAATAATGCTGAATGTAGTTAGAGGCAAATACCTCTCTCGTAAGAATTAGGCGATCTTACCAAACCAAAAAAGCAAAAATGAATTATTGGAATGTAAATGGGTTTTCCCAGTTCCTGGGATAGTCCTTTATAGAATCCTCATTCCTCAGGGTGTTAGAGTAAGGCTAACACAGGTTATGTGTCTGTTTTAGATGCTTCTACTCCTTGTGCTTAAAAGTTTTCCAGTGTTTTGACTTTGCCAGTACAGAAGGAGTGCAAGTCTGTTAGAAATGAACAGTATTTGGGGAAGAATTTCAACTTTTTTTAAAAAGGCCTAAATTCATCAATAGACCCAAACTACCTGTGAATACAGATAGAGCAAACAACAGAAACCTTAGAGGAGAAATTATGTTAGGAGAGGTATTAGGGGATAACTTTGGAAACACTGACAGCAGATTTTCTGACAGCATTTAAGTTGGAAAGGAAATCATCTTATTGTAGGTGAAGTTCTTTTGTGCTCAATGAGATTTTCCTGTTTCCTAGTCTAAATCTCTACTATTGTTATTGCTACAACAAGTTTTTGTTTTTTGAACTAATGATAGGAGGGAGTCCTTCAGATCATTAAAGGAATTTTTTAAGGAATAACACATTTGTATGGTCACATGGGGTAGGAGCTCAGAGACCTTAAGGAGTCATGAGAGTCAATATTTTATCATGGAAGTGGTGAGACTTGGCCAAATACATTTCCCTGTATATTGAACAAAATCTGTTGGCCAAATTCTCCCCAGGCTTCTATCATTCTATCGAATTTGAAAGTTATTAGGATTGCCCAGAACAGTGTACATGTAACTGCGTATACAGATATGATCTTAATTATGAAGTTTCTAGAATAAATCTTATTCTTTCTGCTTATTTAGTGCAAAATAAACCTATCAAAGGAACTAGTTGCAGGCATAGAAAGGGGAATGAGTATGGCCCATCTAATAATTTCTATCTGCAATGATCTATAGTCAAACCCCATTTTATTGCATTTTGCTTTGCAAATGTTGCATTTTTTAGAAGCTGAAGGTTTGTAGCAACCCTGCATTGAACAAGTTTATCAGCGCTTTTTTGAACACCATTTGCCCACTTTTGTGTTTCTGTGTCACATCTTGGTTAATTTTTGCAATATATCAAACTTTTTCATTATTATATGTTAGGGTGACCTGTGATCAGTGATTATGACTTCCTAAAAGCTCAAATTAACATTTTTAGCAATAAAGTATTTTTAAATTAAGGTATGTATTTTTTGACATTTGCTAATGCATTTATATAGTATACACCTTTTATATGCACTGGTTAACACCAAAATTCACTTGACTTGCTTTATTGTAATATTCATTGTATTGCAGTGGTCTTGAACCAAACCCTTAGTAACTGTGAGGTATGCTTGTATAAGTAGTATGATCTGGACTGCTGTAGTGTAATTTTCAATGGTCCTGGCCTTCAAAAATCAGTCAATACCCATATTACATCATAACTACCATTCTTCAGATGTGGATAGGAGATCCACTTTTTATGAAAATTCTTCATGACCATTTCACTCAGAACATCAGCAACAATCAGCACAGGTCATGAATTTGCCCAGATACTTTTGTTTCTCATGCCTCCTTTACAATTGGTGAAATACTCCAGTACAGACAGTTATGAGTGGTTTGGATAATACAACTGGATGTGAAATTTCTGATTAAAAAGATATGCTCCAAAATACCAAATTGGTATCCTTCAATGACTCTGAAAGCAGCTCTAGGCAGGATGTTATCTTTGGCCAATGCTCATGCTTCCCAGTCACTAAAGATGTTTTTGGTTGGTAAAGAAAAACTTCTGTAAAGAAACTATAGTTATATTTACTTTCAGTTTTGTCCCTGATGTAACAGGGCAGGCTCACCCTAAATTCAACAGCCTCAAATCCTTTTTTGAATGAGGTAGGATTTTAAAAAACAAAAGCAGAATCAAAGCAATACCCCAAATGTCTTCCAACTTCCTGTGGTGAGTGCTATTTATTACATAACTACTGGGGGTAGAATCTGGTATAAAATCAATGTATCTCAAGGAGGTGCCTTCCATTTACCTTTGATACAATTCCCTAGGAGAGTATCTACTTATATCAGGGATACAACCAGAAACGACACATGAAATATGCACAGGTTGGATACATGCATATATTTAATAATGAAACAATTTTTCAACAGCAACAAAATTAGAAAAATTCATGAGACCTCAGTGCTGTGGAAGAGAATAGGATATCAAGGCAAAAAACTATAGCAATGACCCAGAAGGCTGCACTGTGAGTGAAACAAAGGCAAATTTGTCTAGGATAGTATTATATGCTCTTGAAAAGGAGAATGGCTGGAGAAGTACCCGCTTATTTGACTGTTTGGAAGCAGGTAGCCTTACTGTATGCTGCATGGAATGAAGGCAAAGAGCTAGGGAAGGGAAAGAGGAAAGGGAGAAGAGCAGTAGAGAACCCAGGGTAAGCAGAAGGAAGAGACTGGGAGAGAGTTAAGAGATGACTCTAAGGCCTTTTGTTTCCTTGGCAGTCTAAAATAAACCTGTTTCAAGTCTTTAAGTATGTCGGTCAAATTCAATGGTCACATAATGAGTAGCACTGGGCACTGTGAAGGAATGGTGGAGGGAATGGTTTACAAAACTAAAGAGAGAACATGGTTCCTGCTCTTAAGGAGCTTACAACCTAGTTGGGGAGACAGATTCCACACATAAAACAACTACAAAGCATATTTACAAGCAACATAAATACAAATAAATACACATATGAACAAAAAACATTAGGAAAGCTAAGGAGTACTGTGTCAATAATTGTTTAGAAGTCTCTAGGTCAGCCAAAGAATGCTTTCTTAAGGAAAAATGTTTGGACTTTCGTAGTTTGTTAGCAGAGAGCAGGGCATGTGCAAAGGCGGGGAAGTGGAAGTATGTTACGTCCAATAAGCAGATCAGCTTGATTGGAACAGAAAGTCTAACGTGGCCTGTTAAGTGAGTGCAATTGAACAGTAGGGGTCTGTTTGATGAAAGACACTGCAGTGTTAGGTCTGGTCCCTAAAACAAAACAAAACAGGAAAAATGCTTTCTTTAGGTAATGACAGTAAATGGCCACAGGTCCACAAGCAACTCCACTGCTCTCACAAGTGTTGTAGTTTGTCAAAGACAGAAATTAGCAATGAGATGGTAGAGAAGTATTCAGCATCCTTGAGCAGTTCAAGGAGAAGGAACTGACCTCTCCAAGAACTCTTACCAAGAGGGAAGTAAAAAAATGAAATTCCTGGGCAGAGGGTCTATCAATCCAAAGGCCAGCCTAATCCCAATAATCTCAAGTGCTCCAGCAGAATTCCCTAGACACTTGTTACTAATTCTTGGTGGGGAACAGATTGTGTATGCCAATAAAATAGTTTATTTTTCAACTACCATGACAATCAATTTTGATCCTAACATTTTAGAAATTAAAATAGGATGAGAAGAGCCCTAATCTATAAGGAATGTTCACGTCCCTGAAGAAGGACAGGTCAGTAAGGGCCCAAATTCTCCCCTAGTCTTGAAGTGGAAAGGCAGAACATCACAACTTGGAAAGAGGCTTTTCTCAGCCAAAACAAGACCTCTTTCTTTAAGCCTATTGATCTGAAGCTGTTCCAGGAAGGAAAAAAGAATCCAGGCCAGATGTTCAGCAGCAGCCAGAACTGGACCCTACATCATGAGAGTTCCGCGGGGAGGCGCTGGATCCCACTGGTGTTGAAATACACTGCTGGGGACCAATCTTGATGCCATTTGCCTGTAAAAGAAAAGAGGCAATAGTTCCTACCTCCATCCTAAGAGAAATGGGAGAAAGAAGGAGAATAAAAGGAGAAATCATTCATTACATTTCTTAGAAGTAGATATGCTTTGGCAGGTAACTGTGTGCCCTAGCCAGACTGCTGTGGAACAACTACAAAGCATATTTACAAAGAATATAATCTGTGACAGTAAGGAGATGATGACCAGCAGTGATCACAGATGACCAAAAATGGCTTTTGTGCCCATTTTAAGGTGACTGTTACACTTAAGTTTCATAGTTATGTGCAGAATCAGGATTTGATTTCGTAAGAGGCAGCAGCAGCAAAGGAGTAGAAGTAGCATATTAGCATATAATTCTTTCTTGTTTTACTGCAGAATTTGCTTTACAGAAATAGGCTTGTTGAACAATTAAGAATGACACTTCCCCTACGCTCTAAAATAGTGAAAACCTAAGGTTGAGTAGAAAGCATCCTATACTGTATAAGCTTTTTAGATCACTAACTGATAATCCCTTTAAGCATTCTGGGTCTCAGACTTGAAGAAAAAACAGAAAATGATGACAGAGTTCCGTGTACTTACATAAAAAGAAAAAAACAAGTACAACTGGCATAGTTTCAAATAGTATGATGTTAGACAGGAAATGCTTACATTCTAGGAAGCTTCCTGTTCTGTCTAAAGCAAAGTTATTTATCAGCCCCACCCACTCACCCACCCTTTCTCACCTCATTGTGGACATCAAATAAACCCTGCTGGATCTTCCTATATATTTCTTTGGCTGTATTAATGAAGGCCTAAAGGAGACATAAACCATATCATTAAGCTCATATCTAGGTAGCAAAGTTAGGAAAAGAGAATACAAATAGTATTCCTATTTGGATTTCTAAGGTGAATTAGGAACCATTAAGGGAATGGAATAAAAGAATAAGATTCCCCAAATTCCTATAAAAGGCATTAAAAGTAGTTTGAAAAAGATAAAAAGGGTTGTACAGTATTTTGGTACTGACCAGATGTTCTTAGGGTTCTTCTGCAAATAAAACAAACATGCTGTCTTCTGAATTAGTTGCTGAAGACACAGTCAACACCAGGCTTAGGAATGACCGACCACAGTAGAACTCATTAGATCCTCCAACTAAAATGATTTACAAGCAACACTGCTGTCTAACCCACACTTATAACTAATGTTACTCACAGCAAAAGTAAAACCTTAGGTATCAAGGTAAAAGAAATGGTACAGTTCACTTAAAGGGGAACATGAAGTCACTATGACCACAAGATAGCCTTAACTTGCCCATCTCTCACAGGAAAAGGGAATCCTGAAGAAAGGACAAGGACAGTGGTATAATCTCTGAAAAGCTTTCCCAAGTTTTTTCCAAAGAGTACCTCTTCAACGTTGCAGGCTGTTTTAGCTGAAGTTTCCATGAATATAAGTCCATGCTCCCGAGCAAAGGCCTCTCCTTCTTCTCTCTTCACATCCCTACGGGATTCTAAGTCACTGCAAAAGATTAATTGGGAAGAAAACTAAAAAAAAGATCCAAGGATCCAAGTGAAAGACGAAACTCTTGTTCTAAAAGAATCCCATAGCCGTTTCAACTGCCAGTTAATACATAAAGAATGTAGATCCTGAATGATTCTCCTGTACAGGGGTATGGATTCCTGTAGCCTCTTGGAAAATATTTTTCACATTCATGACAGCTGCTGCATGGTTGAGGACAATACCTTACTTTATTACAAAGAAAAAGGTTTACAAAGAGTTAGGCAAGCCCCACGGTTACTCAAGGTTTATGCTCTATACTTCTTTTCAAATGAGATCCAGTGAGAGCAAAGGAAAGAAGATGAAAGGGAAGTTTCAGCTGTTAGCAAGTAGAAAAGTTATTTAGAGCTGTCCCTTTCTGTCATAATTGTCTTCCTCTTTTATTGGAATCAATCCACAAGTAGAATGCCATGAATAAGGAAAACAGCTGCCTTACCTCTCATTAGTCTCATTATTAATGTGTGTAATAGCAGCTTGCCACCAGGGAAATTCAGAAAAAGTGATATGGATAAAATTAGATGTTACAAGGGCAAACAGATAGCCAAGTACTTTGGAAGAGAATAAAGGGGCACAGAAAAACTTTATGAAAGACAGGATAAAAGGCTGTAGATTAGGTTAAGGATGGACTATTTGATTTTCATTTTTCAAATTGGAAGTTTTCATGTGGGATGTTTCTAGTTTTTCAACCATTAAAAAAATCAAGAAGTCTATTAAAAAACAATAAATCTACAAAATACGTTTTTATTCATCAGCTATGTGACAACCAGGGAAGAACTATCCAGCTAACTGCCAACACTCCCAAATCTGTATCTCTAGCCCAAATGCTCCTCCAAAGCTCTAGATCTGTTTGTCCATTTGTCCATTCTTCATTTCTACTCTGATACGTAAAAGGCACCTCAAAGGTACATCAAAATGGAACTTGATCTTTTCCCCCCAACCTGCTTCTGCCCCAAGTTTCTAAATCTCTATTAATGGCATAATCCAAAAAACAAAATGTTATTATTAACACTTTTTCCTCCTTCACTCCAAATACCCAATCCATCCCAAAACAAGGTACTTCTAAAATAAAAGGTAAAATGATCCTTTTCTCTCTCCAGTGTCATCTCCCAAGTCTGAGGAACCATTCTTTCTACTTGGACTACTGAAACTACAATCCCACTTCAAACTTGCTCCCCTCCAGGGTTATTTTCTTAAATATGATCAAACCACTTCTCTGCTTAAAATTCTTAAATGCTTCCTATTGTGTTTAGAATCAGATCTAAACTCTTTCCCAAGGCTATTAGGTGCTATGGGACCTGGCCCCTGCCTCCCTTTCCAACTTCATATTGCACCATTTTGCCTTTAGTCCCACCATACCAGGTTTCTTTCACTACCATAAACTTGCCAAGTTTCTTCCCAGCTCAAGGCTTTCACACTTTGTTCCCCCATCTGGAATCTTTTTTTTTTAAATCTTTGTCCAACCTTCAGATTCCATCTTAAATATAACCGTTAATCAAAAATAGGTATCATTACTTTCTTTTATAGCACCCCCTTTTCCCATCACTGCATTTCTCACAATTTGTAATTAGATATAAGCCATTTTATATTAAAATTCTATGTCCCCACTAAACTGTATACTCCATGGGAACAGGGGCATGGTTCTTTTTTACTTGGCACACTCAGGATCCGGCAGTGTCTAGGACACAGTAGTTCCATAAACTGGTTGAACCAATATATCAGTACAATTAGTCTGTGGCCACAGTTCTCAAATGGTACACCCTATGCATTGCTACAAACTCACAAGAGTGCCACAGGATACTTTAAATTTTCAAGGAAAACACACCAACACTCAACATCAGAACACCATACCAATTATAAGCTTAAGATAGCTTGCAATGTCAACATTAGATCTCCATAGATACCATTCAATATCTGTGTATCTTTGTGAAGCTGAGATTTTGGCAGTTGCTGTGATAACCAATTTAGAACAGGAAATGGGAGTGGCAGTGTCCAATCTTGATTCCAAGGTTTCAGAAGCTGTGCAATGCCCACGAGGCACACACAGGTTATCAGGAAGTAATTATGGCTATTTAAGAATGAAATAAAAAAATTTTTTAAATGTTTTTCACTTTTCAAAGTTACTAAGATGTTATAACAAAAAGACATGTTATGTTGCTCAAATCTAACTAATAATGAATCTGTCAGGTATTTCTCCCTTTTTTATTTTTTTGTATCACTTTGCATTTTTTTATTAAAGTGTAGTTGATATGCAATCTTATATTAGTTTTAAGTATCCATCAGAGTGGTTCACCAATTACCCACAATATTAAATCCTCACCCAACCAGTGCAGTTGCTATCTGTCAACATACAAAGATGTTACAGAATAACTGTCTATATCTTCCATGCTGTACTACCATTTCTATGATGAACTGATACTATGATTGAGAATTTTTGTGCCCCTTTATCCCCCTCACCCTCCCTACCCACCTACCCCAACCCTTCTCCCACTGTACCACCAGTCACTTCTAAGTGTCTATGAGTCTACTGCCATTTTGTTCATTCTGTTTTCAGATTCCACAAATAAGTGAAATCATATGGTATGTCTTTCTCTGCCTGGCTTATTTCACTTAGCATAATACCCTCTAGGTCCATCTATGTTGTCACAAATCACAGGATTTCTTTCCCTTTCATAGCTTAATAAATATTCCATTGTGTATATATACCATCTCTTCTTTATCCATTCATCTACTGATGGACATTTGTTTCTGTGACCTGGATATTGTAAATAATGTGGCAGTAAACATAGAGGTGCACATATCTTTTCCAATCAGCGATTTTGTTTTCTTTGGGTAAATTCCTAGAAGTGGAATTACTGGGTTGTATGGTTCCTATACTGCTTTCTACAATGGCTGCACCAATTTACATTCCCACCAACAGTGTAGGAGAGGTCCCTTTTCTCCACATCTTCACCAACACTGTTATTTTTCTTTTGGATGGTGACCATTCTAACTGGTGATATCTCATTGTAGTTTGATTTGCATTTCCCTGATGATCAGTGATGTGGAGCATCTTTTCATGTGCCTGTTGCCATCTGTATTTCTTCTCTGGAGAAATGTCTATTCAGGTCTTCAGCCCATTTTTTAAATGGTTTGTTTCCTGGGTGTTGAGTCATATGAGTTCTTTATATATTTTGGATGTTAACCTTTATCAGATAAGTTGTTTACAAATATATTCTCCCATATTGTAGTCTGTCTTTTTGCTCTGGTGATAGTGTCCTTTGCTGTACAGAAGCTTATTTGTTTCATGTAGACCCACTTGTGCATTTTTTATTTTGTTTCCCTTGCCTGGAAAGATGTGTCCAGGAAAAAATTGCTGATGCTTATGTCCAAGAGATTTTTGCCTATGTTTTCTTTCAAGAGTTTGATGGTTTCATGTCCTACATTAGGTCTTTATTTCATTTTGAGTTTACTTTTGTGGATGGAGTTCGACAATAACCCAGTTTCATTCTCTTACAGATAGCTGTCCAGTTTTCCCAACACCACTTATTGAAGAGGCTGTCTTTTTCCCACTGTATAGTCATGGCTCCTTTATCATATATTAATTGATCATATATTTATGGGTTTATATCTAGGCTCTATATTCTGTTCCATTGATCTATGGGTCTGTTTTTGTGCCAGTACCATACTGTTTTGACTATTGCAGCTTTGTAGTATAGCTTGAAGCCAGGGAGCATAGTCCCCCCAGCTTTGTTCTTTCTCAGGACTGCTTTGGCTAGTCAGGGTCTTTGCAGTTCCATATGAATCTTAGGGATTATTTGCTCTACTTCATTGAAAAATGCCATCAGTATTTTGATAGGGATTGCATTAAATCTAAATTGCTTTGAACAGAATGGCCATTTGGACAATATTAATTCTTCCTATCCATGAGCTTCTTTAATTTCTCTCACCAGTGTCTTACAGTTTTCAGAGTACAGGTCTTTCACCATCTTGGTTAGGTTTCTTCCTAGGTATTTTATTCTTTTTGATGCAACTGTAAATGTAACTTTTTTCCTGATTTCTCTTCCTGCTAGTTCATTGCTCATATATAGGAACACAACAGATTTCTGTGTATTAACTTTGTGTCCTGCAACTTTGCTGAATCCAGGTGTTAGTTCTAATGGTCTTTTGGTTGAGTCTTTAGGGTTTTCTATATATAGTATCATGTTATCTGCAAATAGTGACAGTGAAACTGTCAGGTATTTCTTCTGGCCTCAAGAGGCCATAGAAAATTGACTAAGAATAATAAGTGTTGGTGAGAAGGTGGAGAAATTGGAACCCTTGTGCATTGTTGGTAAGAATGTAAAATGGTGCAGCCACTATGGAAAACAGTATAGCAGTAGCTCAAAAAATTAAACACAGAATTACTGTAAAATCAAGAAGTTCCACCTCTGAGTACATACCCAAAAGAACTGAAAGCAGAGGCTCAAACAGATATTGTATTTCTATGTTGACAGAAATATTATTCACAATAGCCATGCGGCAGAAGCAACTCAAGTATCCATAAATGGATGAATAAGCAAAACATGGTACATACATACAAGATAATACTATTCAGCCTTAAAAAGGAAAGGAATTCTAGCACATGCTACAATATGGGTAAACCTTGAGGACATCATGCCAAATGAAATAAGACAAAAGAACAAATATTTTATATTCTACTTACATGAAGCAGCTAGAATAGTCAAATTATTGAGACAGAAAATGGTGGTTTCTGGGGATTGGTGGTGGGAATGGGGAGGGCGGGGAATATGTAATTGGTGTTTAATTGGAATAGAGTTTCAGTTTGAGAAGATGAACAAATTAATAATAATATTATACCAATGCCACAGAAGTGTACACTTAAAAATGGCTAAAATGGTAAATTTTATGTATATTTTACCACAATTAAAAAGAGTTTTGGTGGAGCCAAGATGGCGGCGTTAGTAGAGCAGAGGAAATCTCCT